GGTAGAAAGAGTGAGAGGAGAGCCATCCTAGTAATTATTTTATTTACCTTATTTATTAAAATTTATGACTCTAAAGTATAAGTTAGATGTCATTAAAGGTATGACATCTTGTATCTGTATAGCAAAGAATGAATTTGATGTTTAACTTATTGCCATATTGTGAACTAATATCAATATATGTATATAGTTTTCAGTTTAATTGTGTATTTGTTTAATGAAAAGATATATTTTGGATATATATTGTCTCAGGAAAAGTGTAGACTCTTTTATTTATGGCTGTTTCATGTTTGGCATGCCCACCTAATTGTCTGCCATCAATCTGTCTTATCTAGCATCAAAGATCATAAGAATACTGAAGGCATAGAGCAGTGTCTTCTCAATTTGGGGAGCTAGCACAGTGCTCTGAATATAAGACTCAGTAAATGTCGATTCTTAGGAATTTACTTTTAAAAGACTTAGGCCATTTTGTGCTGCCAAACAGAATATAGTAGTTTCCAAGGACTTTTCTTTCTGTATCTGCCATCAACTGTGGTCTGAGAATATTAAATGGAAAATTCCAGAAATAAACAACTCATAAGCTTTAAATTGTGCACCTTCTTGAGTAGGGTGATGAAATTCTGCAGCATCCCACCTGAAGTGTGAATTAGCCCTTTGTCCAGTGTGTTCACACTGCATAGCCACCTGCCCCTTAATCATTTATTTAGCCTCACTTTAGGATCCACTGTCATAATATTATGGTGCGTCTTTCCACCATGTAGCCTTTATTTTATGTAATAGTCACCCCAAGGCTCCAAAGTATATATAGGAAATGGTGCATCAGGATACACATTTATATATACTATCTGTACTTTCAAACAATGCTCTGGGGATCGTGGATAAGTGTGACCAGTGCTGGACTGACTAATTCGTAAGACATTTATCATCTCATGGTTCTGAAGAACTAGTTGAACACTGATGGAACCGTGTGGGACTTAATGGGGCAATTCCACAGTGTCATTAGTTGGAGGGAGGGAGAGGAAAGCAAAGGAGGGACTGAACTTGCTTTTTGTAATGAATTCACATCTACCATGTAAGGAACTGACTTAAATGATAATAATGTTAATTTCTTCAGGCACTGTCTTTATGGCCCCGTCACATCTGATTTTTACCTCCCAACATATTATGTTGGTGAACTACCAACACGTGCTTTTGGGAGGAGGGGATTCAAATCATAAACACCTACCTCAGGTGTTACCTCTTTCCTGGTCTCTTCTTCCTCCTAGGCAGGAGCTGGCCCTCCTTTCCCTTACACGTCCCTTACTGGCTGCGCTGTAAGGCCCAGGGGCCCGCAACCCCATCAGTTTTGTGCTTTAGAGCACACAATCCATGCCTGCTTTAATTGTTTATTAGGATAACTTGTTGAACTTGCATAATTATAAAATGTAAAGTAAACTTTATTATGCCAGATTTTGCTCAGAAACTGAGTGGGTTAAAAAAATTAAAAACATATCCTCTGGAAACGTTCTCTGTTTGAAAACATTTGGTTGGACTTTACGAGTATTTTTCACTGCTGGGACTCAAGTATAGGTTTATCTTTAGTCCCAAGTCAGGACAGAAACTCCACTTCATGTGACTTCTAAAGCCTGCATTGCCTTCTTTGAGACTATGCGCCTCTGGCCTCTTGGCTTTGCCATCATGCCTTTAATTTATGATTGACATTAGCCTGGCTCATCTAGCATTGGTCATGGCTGCCAGATCAGGTAGCTGAAGGGACTGTGGTTGTCACTGGAGTGCCAGATTGTGGTGGTGACATATCAATAAGGAGTATATGTTGCTAGAGGAGCAGAAAACTCAGATATATGAGCCTTTGCTAGAAGGAACATGTTTTTTAAAACTTGAAGTATGAAATGGCTTGTTTCACAAAATATAAACAATACTTGTATAGAATTATCACTTTCTATGTGTAAAGTGGCATGCTGTAGTGTGCACTTGGAATGCCTGCTGAAGCTGTTTGACTCTGAACCATGGGGATACAGTGGTGTTTTGTTCTAGAGGAAGATTCATCAGGGAAAGAATGTTATTTTATAACAATGCCTTAGGCTCAGAGCCCCATAATTCTGTTGAAATTTTAATACAACCATTTGACCTTAGTATTTTTTGTATTGCTATTTTTATTTTGAGATCACTATAGAGTCCCATGCTGTTTTCAGAAGTGGTACAGATGTGTACTATAGAGTCCCATGATGTTTTCAGAAGTGATACAGATGTGTACTATAGAGTCCCATGCTGTTTTCAGAAGTGGTACAGATGTGTACGTAACCCTTTTCCTTCCATCTTGTCTGCGACCACAGCAGAGTGTGGCAGCTGGGAAATTGTCACTGATACAACCTGCTATGATTTGAGTGGATTCCTCAGATTTCATGTGTTGTGAGTTAAGTTCCAGGGCTGACGGTTTGAGGGAAGTGAGGCCTTCGATAGGAGGCTAGCCCAGTAGGGTTCATCCCTCATGAGTGAGCTTATGTCCTCTTTGCAGGAGTGAGCTTGTTGTGAACAAGCGTTCTGTCACCTCTTGCTCTTCTGCTTTCTACCATGAGACAACATAGTGCAGATGTACTCCTGAGCTGCCCCCCCTTCATGCTGGGGCTCAAGTAAACTTGCCTTATTTATTAATTATTCAGCCTGTGGCATTCTGCTATAGTAATATGAAAGAATCTCCAAGACACTTAGATTCACCAGTTTTCTGTTCATTTTTATGTGTTTGTATGTCTCGTTTTACATGTACAACTTACCATTTGCCTTTTTAAATTGAATTTATTCATTTATTTTATATCCCAACTTCAATTTCCCCTCTCTTCTCTCCTCCCATTTCCCCCCTTACCCCCTGTGCCCCACCCCAATCTGTTCCTCTGTTTCTGTTTAGAAAAGGGCAGGCTTCCCATGGGTGTCAACAAAGCATGGCGTATCAAGTTAAGGTAGAACTAAGCTCCTTCCTTCATATTAAGACTGGGTGAAGCAACATAGTATAAGGAATATATTCCCCAAAGCCTGCCAAAGCATTGGGGACAGGCCTTGTTGCCATTGCCAGGAGTCCCACAAGTAGATCTAACTATACAACTGTCACACATATGTAGAGGACCTTAGTTGGTCCCATGTCGGTTCCTTAGTGTCTATGAGCCCAGGTGAGTTGTCTCTGTGGGTTCTCTTGTGATGACCCTGACCCCCCCCCCCCCGCTCATTTAAACACAAAGGAAATGAGGGTTAGATAAGGTCACACGAAATGCTTAAATGTAGACATGAAAATCAAATATTGACTTATTTTGATTTTTTGTTAACAATAATAATTAGCAGCAAGTTTCATTTGAGTTGCCTAAGGACTGTATTATGAACTTACCACACACCTGGGGCTTCTGGTGTATTGTCTTATGTGACCTTCCTAGCGATTATACCATATAAGTTAGATCAAAGTTGGTTTGCTGTACTTAATTATCCCTGGAGTCATTTTCCAAGGAATAGGCATTTTTTAAAACAACTCTTGAAATTAGTAGGAAAAAAAAAAACCTATTTTGTTTTCATCCTTTTACATTTTAAGTCTTTTCCGTGACTGCTGATCCTGGCAATTGTTGAGTGTGGGGATGGATGTATCTCTGTGGGAGTTAGGAAGGGAGGAAGGGTGAGGGAGTACTGTCTTATAGATGGAGTAATGGTGAGATGTTTTAAAGTCTTTGTATTGTAAAGAAGACCTAGTTTATACAGAGTGCCAGGTTGTAAAGAGAATTAATGTGAACTATCACAAATACTTAAAAGTATAATTAGATTTTTCCATAGTCTAATTTAGGGTTATTCTTACGACCAATTTTGGCTAAATACAGCCTCGGGGGTGTTTGGATTCACTCAGATACCCATTGTTACATATCTGACTTTACAGTGGTGCCACATGCATATGCCTGTAAGTTAGCACTGATGCGTGTTAGAAAGGTAAGAGATACACTAATTAGGAGTCCATAATTTACTGTTCTTTGCTTGTTAAGTGTCTTGTAAAGCTGTCGCTATGATGGATGTCAGCCCTTACTCAGACTAGGGGTATGTTGGTGCCTCAGGAGGTCTTGGTGTTTTTGTAGACAGCAGACAGAAATAAAAGGAATTTTGTCCTTTTTACCTCCTGAAATCCCGCTAGAAAATGCACCATGTGCTGGGATCTGATATTGACTTCTGCCAGGTCACTTCCCTCAAGAGTCATGGGCAAGCCCCACTGCAACAGTCTGCTGCTTTCGACTGAGACGGATGGCTCCTGTGGATGCCGCACTTCTGTCTGCCAAGAATGCCACAGCAACCTGCATCTGCCACCAGAGGGGAAGCAGAAAACTCCATACACTGCAGATATAAACTACATTTTGCACAGTCTCTTTGGGGGAAAAAAAATAGTCCACAGTGATGTAACAGCCCGTAAATCACCATGTGGGGCTGATTTTTGTCCTACGTGGCAGAACTTTATTTGCATGTTAGATAATGCAAATCTTTTGAAGTTTTATGTTATTAGGAATTCTTTGCAAACTACAAAGCCATTTGGAGCTACTCTATCCATTTTCTCCTAAGGAAGTTTTTCCTCCTCATGACTCATTCCATTCCATGGCTAATAAGAGGGGAATGTAATAACGGTTAAAGAAAGGAATGCATGCCTTTTCTTCCTTTTTCCTTCTTTTCTCTCTCTCTCTTTTTTTCTTCCTTTCTCTCTTTCTTTTTGAGCACTGTACATATTTTCTGTCTTGGGTTATGTAAACTTGCATGACTTTAAAATGCTGACAAGTGTGGAAGGTAAAAAGCTCTCCTGTTAATATATACTTCTTTGGAATTTAAAAATCAAAACACTTCCTCTGCTTCTTGAGAGAATTGTTTTGCTTGATGGCCCAGAATACAAATCCAGTAAAAATGACATATTTCAGCTGTCACTTTCACATACACCTTCAGTGAAATTAATGAGATCACCCTAAGATTGCACTTTGTGTTTTATTTTTATTTTATAGGTCTGTATGAGCTATTGGCTGCTCTGCCTGCCCAGCTGCAGCCACATGTGAATAGCCAGGAGGACCTGACCTTCCTCTGGGACATGTTTGGTGAAAAGAGCCTGCATTCACTGGTCAAGGTAAACCACACTGATGTCAAGTCTCTTTGTGGAAACATATGGAAAGATATTCTGAGTACCATCTAGTAAACCAGAAACAAAATTGTTACTGTCTGAAAACAAAACAGCCTTGTTATGTTTCACGGTCAGGCGTGGAAGTTGTTAAAAATCTTACCAAAAATACATAGATGACTTCACGGAAGGGCATAATGTGGCCATGCAGGCATTAGCAGCGGCATGCGGCTGCCCTTGTTTAGACAAAAGACAAAATAGTGACAGGAAGGTTGAGACTCCGTTATGGTCGATATTTGTGGGCTGGAATTTCACTTAAATAAACAAATGTTCACAGCAGAAATTAGAAGGGATATGTGTTCTGAGGTCAGAAACGGCAGCAGTCCAGAAGCCACATTAATTTAAAATAATTTCCTTTAACAAAGTCAACTGAAATTCTAGTATGCTGTTTCTTTTATCGGCCTGACTCCATTGAAATGGTATTTTGTAGAGGAATACAGTGGAGCTATTATGAATAAAAACAGTTTTTGGAGCCCATTTTAGGGAAAGCATCCTGCCACGAGAACTGTCAGCCACAGGGAACCAGATCCCGTCTTACAGAAACACTGGGAGTGACCAGCTCTCTTAAAATAGTAAAATGAGAATAAGAAGCTCACTGGAAAACACGCTGCTCAAACTTCTGGAAATACAAACTTCATTTTCTCTCATTTAACTCAGGCTGAAAGAAATGACTAGTCTTTCTTGTGTCTGTAGGAGATAGAAGCCCATGTCTCCATGAAATCTGGACCTATACTTTACTCAGCTAACTTTGTTAGGGTTGTCTGTCGTGATGGGAGGCTTTTATCTGGTACATAGTATTCGAAAATGGGCCATTTCTGAATTGCCACTGTTTAAAGAACAGAAATGGTCTATGTGTTTCTTTTCCTGAAATTTGTCTGTTTTGAATAGCAACAATACTAAAGAAACTAACGTCAATACATGGTCCTCCCTAGCAGTACATTTTACAGCCTAGAGTTATTCATTAATTTATTTTTTCACAATAATTCAATTACTGAGGTATCTTTATGCTCTAATTCATTTTAGGCAGCTTAGTTAATTTCTTGGGATGGGTGAGAAATGTCTTGGGCTTATAATTTAGGAGTTCTCATGCCTTAGTATAGTAATAATAAAGTGCTTCTCTGTTGAATGTGTGGACGTGGAGTAGCTACAGTTGCATGCACACTGATTTTAGCGTTTGCCGTAAAGAATAACATGTATTTGAACTGGCATCATCCTTGTGTCACTAAGTAAACATTCCCCCAAATAATATATGCATGTTTATTTGTATTTATTTATAACATAGCTGTAATTTCATTACCTAAAATAGAAGTCAGAATGTGTGTCAGCAAGTTGACAATTTCTATAAAACTGTTACCATCTCAGTTCTTGGATAGTTATGTATGTTAGGCAGATTTATTACATATTGAGGAAAAGGTTATCAGAGCACATAAAAAGTGAAAGAACTCCAGAGGTTGTGGTTACCGCTGTTAAAAGGATGAAACTAATGTATGGAATAAATTCCTACATACATTGGACAGTGAGTCTTCAAAATAGGCTATTTTCCAAAGTGTCTGTCAGTGGCAAGTGGGTAGGAAGCATCCAAGACGGTGCTAGTATCTGGTTTCCTAAAAACAAAGAGGCCAATGGGTGGATGTTTTGGCATTTTAGATAGCTCAGTTGACATACGTATTGTTCCACATGTTTACAGTAATTGCTATAAAATGCATTTTTTCAAATGAGTCTCATTTGATGCCACTCGCGTAGTATTTGTGCTTCCTCGGTCCTCTCCTCTGCCCCCAGCTCTGATTAGTTGCAGCTCTCAGTTGTGTCCTCTGCCTGACCCATTCTATTAGTTTTAAATATGTAAAGTCTAAAGCGCCTCCAGGAGGCAAACTCATGGGATCTTAGCTTAAAACATCTGGAACAGACCACTTAACTGTATTCCAAATGCCTCTAGTTAAGGCTGGAGGACAGAAGCCTTTAGCGTTTGTATATAAATCTTTCTAGAGCCAAAGGAATTTGTTTGAAAAGATTTGTTATAGAGTGAACCAAAATGTGCTTGGGTTTTATACTCTTGCCTGAAGTTAGAGCTGTTACTGTGTGATTTAGAACTGGAGAATGCAGAATTTGATTTTCATTCTAGCACAGAATTTTCATGGTTTTTGTAGTGTGTGTGTATGTGTGTGTGTGTGTGTGTGTGTGTGGTGTAAATTGCCACACAGTTTTAAAGGTTTAAAATACTTGTAACTTTGGCATCTAATGTAAAAATACTCAAGAAGAATTGCACATTACAGTCTGAGTGACAGGTACCGCCCTCTACTTTGGATATTGAGATTGTTATTGGAAAGAAAGGTGATCCTAGAGGGCTTGTCCAACTTTTTGATGATGTAACCTAGTATTACCACCTATAAAGTTGATGCTCCAAAGAGGCACAGTTGAGTTACCAAAAAAAAAAATCACAAAGAAGTCTCAATATTTTAAATGAGTTTATGATTTTGCACTGGGACACACTCATAGTTAGATGCACCTACAAGGGTGTCCGCTGAGCTGAAAATATAAAGCACAAGGTGTCATTCTGTTGGTCTCAGGAGGAAGGCAATGCTGAGAGCGTTTGAGAGCCCTCGTGTCTGCTTGGTGGGACCTGCACATGCGGAGGACTAGGAAGCATCATTCACTCAGTCCAGCCAACACAAGAGGACACATCTTTTGCAAATGCACAGAGTCCACGTAGCGTTTGTTTTATGCCCTAACTTCATTTCTAGTTTTATCTTCTGTTCTTACCACTTTAAAAAAATGAATGAGTGCTCATTACTTAATTTTCTTTAGTTGTGTATATATTTATAATCTGATTTAAATTCATTTTAGAACAAGATAGGGTGTAGAACTTGCTTAAATATTGAATTTCTTTTAAATTGGGTTGCACTTGTATTTCCTCAAGAAACTTCTCTCTTTTTTTTTTTTTTTTTTTTTTTTTTTTTTTTTTTTTTTTTTTTTTTTTNTTGGTTTTTCGAGACAGGGTTTCTCTGTGGTTTTGTAGCCTGTCCTGGAACTAACTCTTGTAGACCAGGCTGGTCTCGAACTCATGGAGATCCGCCTGCCTCCCCTCCCAAGTGCTAGGATTAAAGGCGTGCACCACCACCGCCCGGTGAAACTTCTCTTTTTAACTCAAAATTTTGTTGGCTGTCTAAATGTGAATACCCAACCATTATGACTTTACACTCTTACACATGTTCCTCCAACCTTTCAGTAGTTATGTGTGGGAGGACATGAAGTAAATAAAAGTTTGACTATTTCAACAAACATTGATTTGTGTTTTCAGGGAGAGTTTTCGTGCATAACAGAATTACTGTGCTTTTTTTCTGGATTTCAGTGTTAGAATAGCAATGAGACCTGTGGAATTTCAGTCGGTAGAGTGCTTGCCTTAAAGTCATAAGGATCTGAATCTGATTCCACAGAACCTGTGTTAAAACCTGTATTTATAATACCAGGACTAGGAAGGCAGAGGTTCCAGAGATTCTGTGGTGCTAACCCAGCCTGCTTGATGAATTCTATGTCAGTAAAGACACTGTGTATAAAAATCAAAGTGGTTGGTACCTGAGGAATGACACCCAAAGTTGTCCTCTGGCGTTCATGAATATGAACACCCTACCACTCCCTACTATTATCTTCAATTAAAATAAATACAGTTAGACCTGCACATCACTCATGTGCCCAGTCCCAGTCTTAATAATGATTATTGATGAATAATTATTACTATATAACTATTGTATTTCTGTCTTTGTTGAGTTCTTGCTATGTGTTGAGCAATTTCTAAACTATCTGCTGAGAATTTCCAAGATGAAGACACAGTCTTTTGTTTAATCTCCAGTTTTTCATGGCATTATACATAGGTACTTGTCAATTACAGTGTCTCATGATAAATCACATGTGTAATTCAATATTAGCTACAGTATGGGTTCCTTGAGGATTCGATTTCCTCATCTAGATCCTGCCTGCTTAGCAGAAGTTTCATAGGCAACTATTTATTGGGGGTAGTGAGAAGTTAGACAAAAGGAGCAATGTGCAGCCCAAGAGGTAATAGTGAGCATTTTGCCTTTAGAATGGGGTGTGTTTGCCTGGCATATGAATTATGTAAAATTGTGAGTAAAGCCCAAGAAGGCAAAGATGTTCTCATCAGTGTCTTTGTAAACCCAAGTCAGTGGCGGCTGTTTCCTTGAAAGGGTAAAAGCAGGGGAATAAAAAATACCTTTCTTTCTTTCTTTCTTTCTTTCTTTCTTTCTTTCTTTCTTTTTGTTTAAGCTCTTATTTTTAATTTTATTTATTCATTTAAGGGAAGGAGACATTTTATTTTAACTCACAGTTCAAAGGTTATTGTTTTATTTACTTTATTATGTATGTGAGTGCATGTTTATGTGTGGCTATGTGCCCATGAGTGTAGTTATCTATGGAGGCCAATAGAGGGCTTTGGGCTCCCCGCCCCCATTAGAGGGGTTATAGATGATTGTGAGCCATTGAATATGGGGACCTAGGAACTGAACTCAGGTCCTTTGCAAGAGCAGTACAATGCCCTTAACTACTGGAACAGCTCTCCAACTCATTTTCTTTTAGAAATAAATTGGCGTACTATAGAGACTAGATAGGGCATGGCATTTCCAAGTCAAAGATGATAAACAGCAAAGCACTGGTTTCCAGTCTGAGAGGCGCATGCTGGCTCTTCTGTTCTCTCTCATTGAGACTCCTCTTGTTCTGTGATCCACTCACCAGTGTCAAGCTGTTGGGTGTTGGGAGGAGATTCAGGAGACATCTCTGAGAGTTCTCTACAAGCATATAAGTTCTCATATATTTTGACTATCTCCCCATAGGAAATGAGAAATATTTTAGATGTTTGCTCAGTATTTAGGGTGTAATAAAATAATTAGACTCATGCATCCAGAGTTGAGAATAATTACATTCAAGAATAGGTAATAGGT